CTCCAGAGGCGGCCCGCGTCCTGCAGCTCCCCAAAGTCCTCCACTTGTCTCCTGGAAGTCCTTGCCGTGTCCCCGCCGCCCGCAACCCCCCCGGGCCCCCTCGGAGCGCCGTAAGGCCGCGAAGCTCCCCCTGCTGGCCTCCACCCTTCCCTTGGTGTCCTGCAGGGCCTGCCCCAACCCGCCGCCCCGCCGTCGCGCGCTCTGCTCGCTGCAGCTGCGGGCCGCCTGCTCCGAGCGCAGCTTGCGGAGGGAGCAGAGGGTGTGCTCCAAGTCCCCACACTCGTCAGTGGCAGCCTTCTTACACTTTCGGCACCAGAGCCTGCGCAAAGCACGACACACAATAGTCCACTGATTTACAATCCGCACGGCTCAGGAGGGGATGCAGGTCAAGGGATTACTGTATGGCGTCCTCTTGGCTGCGCCCACACTGAGGATAAAACAGCTTTCAACAAAGCCTAATTTTGGGCAAAGTATACTAAACAACTGGAATTTGCGTGAAGCATTTCATCCACCAAATTTCGGCGATCCTCGCCCAAATTCTGGCGAGAAACGGTATAGCTATCTCTACCACTAGGCAGTGCAGTCAAATTTTGAGTGAGGAAGCCTACGTTATTCAGGTGAAAAATGATTCTCACCCTCAATTAAGTTGAGAATACCTTTCCCATAATTATAGTCCTGATTGTTGCGTATTGTTGTAAATAAACATCGAAAAACGGTTCAGGATCACATAATTTTTTTTTAAATTACGGGGCAAACCAGGGCCAATCAGCAGAGCCCAAAATGGACCATCGACGATTTGGCCCATTTTTGGCTCAAATGTTACCTACCCATAGGTAAACTTCGGGGTAAAATTTCAGCCACCTAGGTGTCTTTTCATAGGAGTTATGGGCAATCTTAGTTTTTGACTTTTTTTTTAAGTGGTTTTTGCCCAAAATTGCTACTTTTTCCAAAAATCCCTCTAAATCTACAGTTTTCCCCCTAGTTGGCTAAAAACTCGTACTCCAACGTAAAATTGCATGAGGAATTCGATTTCAGGGCCCAAACGGCCCCCTGGGCAGTCTATCATAGAGAAAAACCCCAAATTTTGACGAAAAATCATTTTTTTTAAGGTTTTACGTCGGTGCGTTTTAAAGCTACACCCGAACCCAAAACTTGGTCAACTAAATGCGGGAAATCGTACCTCATACAACCCCTAAAATAGCACGGCTCGACTTTTGGGGTGGTATGGGTATGGTTTGGGCGCTGCAGCCTTGGGAACTTTAAATTATGAAAAAAAAGAAAATTCCCCTTACGGCGAGGTCAACCCTCCTGCATTGGCGTTTCGGGTTCAACTGAGGCCCCGCGGTAAGATTTAAGTTAAAAGGTCCTTCTTACCCCTCACTACCATCACTGACCCTCTGAGAAGCGCACTGAGGTCACTTTTGGGTCCATGGCTGCAGCCAAAGTGACAGAATGGACGAAACGCCTGAAGGGTAGGCAACTTATCCTACGCGCCTGAAGGAATTATCCTACGCATGAGGGGGCTGTTCTGGTCTAATAAAACATGTAGTCTAATATCTGCCCCTTTCATTTTGAAGAGGATAATGATCAAAATTTTTGAAAAATTTTGGCAGGGGGAAAAATACTAAGCTAGGAACAAAACTTGGCTCATTATACATTGAGCAAATATCGAAAATCGCTGATCATTACACTAAACTAAAAACACAACTTTGTTTAACCCAGGGGAAAAAAGTCCAGACGACCATCCGGGAACACCGTTCCCGGACAAATCCGATTTTCCGATTTCGCCTCACAGAATGGTCACGATCATGAGACACTTTTTTTGGAACCGCCTCTACGAAAGACGCAAGTTACTTTTTGAACGGACCTCGTACGATGAATTTGGTACGGGAACATGATTCCTGGATGGTCGTCAGAGACATGTCCAGCCCGGGGAACACCGTTCCCGTACGTAAAAGCGGCCCAGCAAGCCAAATGAGGGTATTTTCGGAATCAGCGGATCGAGCCCGGGCCATTCGCACACTTTTCGAATTGGTTTGAGCTGTTAAAACCAACTCGATTTTGACACGGCCGATTCTGCTGCACGTCAAAAAGGCCGTGTGGAAATCGGGTTGGTTTTTACAGCTCAAAACAGGTCAAAAAGGGGCGAATGGCCGGGGGTCCGTCCGCTGATTCCGAAAATACCCTCATTTAGCTTGGTGGGCCGCTTTTACGTACGGAAACGGTGTTCCCGAATGGACATGTTTTGAGGACCGCCCGGGTACACGGTTCCCGGACTCAAAAACGGCCATACAAGCTTCAAACTGAGACTTTTTGCTTTTTTCTTCCTTATTTTCGGAAAATAAAATGATTTTGGCACTCATTTTGACTGGGAACCGTTTTCCCCGTACTGGTTCCCGCATCTAATGCGTTGGCGTCCACACGGGAACCCCGTACCCGCGTGAATGGGCATGGCCCTCGCGACCGCCCGGGGCACGGGGTTCCCAGTTTTTTTTTTTCAGCTGGTTGGTTTTGATATTCCATGATTCGTGTTTATATCAAGTCGCGAGGTCTGAGAGATGCATGGTTTGGTCAAACCAGACTCCGGTCCTGAGCGGAAGTTTCCCCAAAAACGAGTCCGGTCGTGAACGTGTTAAACAAAATTGTGTTCTTAGTTTGGGGTAATGATCAGCAATTCACGATATTAGCTCAATGTTTAAAGAGCCAAGTTTTGTTCCTAGCTTAGTATTTTATCTAACTGCCAAATTTGTCAAAATTTTGATCATTATCCTCTTCAAAAGAAAGAAGCAGATATTAGACTACATGTTTTTTTAGACCAGAACAGCCCCCCTCATGCGTAGGATAATTTCCCTTTAGGCGCGTAGGATAAGTTGCCCACCCTTCAGGCGTTTCGTCAATTCTGTCATTTTGGCTGCAGCCATGGACCCAAAAGTGACCTCAGTGCGCTTCTCAGAGGGTCAGTGATGGTAGTGAGGGGTAAAAAGGACCTTTCTAACTTAAATCTTACCGCGGGGCCTCAGTTGAACCCGAAACAGCCAATGCAGGAGGGTTGACCTCGCCGTAAGGTGGAATTTGCTTGTTTTTCATAATTTAAAAGTTCCCCGGCTGCAGCGCCCAAAACCCTACCCATACCACCCAAATGTCGAGCCGTGCTATTTTAGGTGGTGTATGAGGTACGATTTCCCCATTGAGTTGACCAAGTTTGGATTCGGGTGTAGCTTTAAAACGCACCGACGTAAAACCTTAAAAAAAGTGATTTTTCGTCAAAATTGGCGTTTTTCTCTATGATAGACTGCCCAGGGGTCCGTTTGGGCCCTGAAATCGAATTCCTCATGCAATTTTACGTTGGAGTACGAGTTTTTAGCCAACTAGGGGCAAAACTGTAGACTTGAGAGGGATTTTTGGAAAATGTAGCAATTTGGTCAAAAACCACTTAAGAAAAAAAGTCAAAAACTAAGATTGCCCATAACTCCTATGAAACGACACCTAGGTGGCTGAAATTTTACCCCGAAGTTTACCTATGGGTAGGTAACATTTGAGCCAAAAATGGGCCAAATCGTCGATGGTCCATTTTGGGCTCTGCTGATTGGCCCTGGTTTGCCCCTTACCCATTGTAAAAACTTACTAGAAGCTAGAACCGAGACTAGAACTTGATCAAGAAAAGTGATTTTAAGATCGAAAAAACACTGATCGTTCCATTTGTTAGTAGTTTACTCACTTGTTGGTTGAAATCGAAGTTGAGCTGGGCGACTTGGGGCGATGCTTGTTCTCGACCAAATTGAGGATAGCGTAGTTGTCCGGCAGAGATGTTACAGGCCCCGAGAATTCCTTAGGGAGGGAGCAATTCGGTAAGAAAAACGGGATGCGGCCATTTCGCACGGAAGCGCGGCCGGTGCAAGCGCTTGTTCACTTTACATCGCACTGGCACCTACCTTCCGACAGGTCGGGCACACATGGTTCTTCAAATCCTCCAAACAGTGCTGGCACACAGTGTGGCCACACGGGATGATGCACTTCGGCCGCCTCAGGGTCGAGTCAAAATCCTCCATACAGATGTGGCACTCCATTGCTCTAAACAACACACAAACACGCACACACTTCATTAGTGAAATTGCGGCAATCGGTGCCACGGACTCGTTTGGAGCTTCTGCAGGACCTCCGTTGCAATGAGTTCCAGTGGCAAGACAAATATGGGTATTTTAACCCGAGTGGAACCGGAAATGGCTCTACGCGCCGGAAGTGCGCATAAAGCCGAAATGTCGAGAAAACCACTACGCCCCATCAATTTCTGTGACGGCTTGCCGAAGGCCAACATACTAAAAGTTTATGTAGATTTTTGTACGTGCCACTTGCACGATATTGTGCATGCGGGGAATTTGAATAATATTATGCGTGAAAATGCATAAAATTGAGCGAATTTCTGCACAATTTTATGCAAAACGTCACGCAGGTTTAAAATCGTGCATCACGACGTACAAAATTCTCCATAAACATTTAATTTGAAGGTACTGTCGTAACTGGTGCAGCATCGCGAGGCCTGTTACGACAAGACACGGTCTGGCGTACACATACTTTGTGTTCAATTTTGGACAAGACACCGCTGGGAGATATTCAGCCTGAAAACTTTGAGTGAGCGGGATAGAAATGAGAAAGTTGTTACTTGGACGGTAAAGCTTCGACATGCCATAACCAAATGTGATGTGAAAATAACAATTGATATGACGAGTTCTAATATGCAAAGTCTTGCCCAGCTGTCCCATTTTACCCGGGGTCCAAAAACTATTCCAACTGACCACTTCTAATTTTCTTTCTTCAGGCGCGAATGATGCTCTTCCGCCAGCAATGGACAGACACAAGATGCACGAGACTTCCAGACGCGACGCGAACTGCCCAACCTGGAGACTTCAGATATGAGAATCGCACTTCGCCAATTTATCTTGCAGGCACGAAACCCTATCGAATACAAGTCTTTTATCGCGCAGAGCGGCGGGTGAGGCTCGCCACGGCATGGAACACGCACAGTCGTCCTGCTCGGCCCATCCCGTTAACAGTGGTCAGCCTAGTGTTACGAAGTTGTGATGAGGGAGGGGTATGGGGAGTCAAAAATGAGCCCAGACCCAGGACAGTTACGGGTAACGGGCACCTCGGGGAGTACATGGGGCACCGGGGCGGGGAAAGCAGTTCGGGGACGAAACACATCAAGTCAGTGTCATTGACTACTGATGGCTGGCCGTTCAAAGCCCATGAAGGGTACTTTTCCCTAACTGGTCACTCTGTTTCTAACGAAGGATTCTTCAAAAACCTCACCCTCGAGTGCTGCTATTTTTCAGGTGAGCACAGCAGTGAAGCAGCTTACATCAAGGTTGAGGACATGTGTCAATCATGGGGCACTGAGTGAAGAATGTGTGAAATGTGCTGAATGTGACAGATCGTTACAAGAATGTGCAGAATGTAAAAGAATTTTGTAGGAATGGAAGAGAATGTGTGCGAATGAGTTTGAATGGGCGTGCATGTGTAAGTCATGCACGTTTGACGGTAGAGCGGGAATGTTAGTGAATGTGACCGAATGGGTGAGAATGTTGGGCGTTGTGAAAGAATGTGGCTATTGTATGGGCGAGTGTGGGGAATGTGTTGGGAATGTCCAATGTGAAGGAATGCACTGAGAGAAAAGTTTTGTTGCCAGAATCGAACGTTCGGTAGCCACGACTAAACCTGTTCGGTAACTTTTGAAGTAATCAAACAGTTCGGTTCCCAGTACCGAAGTTGTTTTTTGATGCTGCCTGATGCTCATTAACAAACCAGAATGGGCCTCCGATGACCCTAGTTAGTAGCTGGGTAAAAAACAAGTTTATTTCTTACTACCGAACAATGTTTGATCGGTTGATCGAAAGCATTGATCATTTTAACAGCGTCGGGCAAAATTGTCTCTGCCCGCGGATCCGTCTTTCCCGCCGGTATTCAATACCCACAGTCCATTCCCTCGCCAATCAAATGATTTGTGCGCGGGAAAACTGGTTACCGCTGGTTACGCATCGCCGGGAGTCGAACCCCCGCCGAACCCGTCTCACTATCCAGCCTCCAGGCACGGAACCAACTGAGCCACCGTGACAACTGAGAGGGGGCGGGATGTCGTAGCCTCTAGACTGACAGCCCGACAGCAGTGACGTCATTCGTCATGTTGCCAAATTCATCATAAGTTCTGTCGAGTGTTGTGTCATTCTATCGATACACCAACCTAAGTCCAAAACAGTTTAGTAGCCACGACTGAACTGGCAGCAATCGAACCACTTTCATTGTGTACATCATTTTGATTTTGATTGGATAGATCAAAGTTGTTCGTTTGTGCAGACAAAACACGATTTTTATTAGATACAAAAGGGGTTAGTGTTCACGACGAAACTCTTTCTACCTGGTTACCAAAACGTTTATTACCTGCCACAAAGCCTTATCAATCGAACAAAGTTCAGTACCGGCAGCAAAACATTTTTCTCAGTGTGTATGGGGAATGTCTTGAATGTAAAGGAATGTGTGGGGAACGTCTAGAATGTGAAGGAATGTGAATGAGTTTTGTAGGAATGTGTGAGATTGTGTATGAACTAGTACTGGCAGTGGGTAAAAAATGTGCCAGAATGTGAAGTGATTGTACGAGAATGTTGAGAGAATGTGTGTGAACTTCAGTAACGAAGACCCTTGCTCTCAGAAGACCCCAGAATTAAAGTGGAGCTACCCAGACGCTGCACTGAGAGAAAAGTTTTGTTGCCAGAATCGAACGTTCGGTAGCCACGACTAAACCTGTTTGGTAACTTTTGAAGTAATCAAACAGTTCGGTTCCCAGTACCGAAGTTGTTTTTTGATGCTGCTTGATGCTCATTAACAAACCAGAATGGGCCTCCGATGACCCTAGTTATTAGCTGGGTAAAAAACAAGTTCATGGGGCGTTCCACGTCAAACCATCATGGTCCAAAACGTACTTGCTCAGATCCGGCCCCCAATTTTTTATATGGTAGTGTACCACCCAAAGACCACTCTCATAAATTTTTTTGAAAAAAAATTCAGGACTTTAGCCGCAGTGATTTTTTGAAACTTCAAAAAAAAAATTATAAATTTTTTTTTCAGTTTTTTTAAAATTGTGTATCTAGGTGCTCAAATGGGTTGAAAACAGTAAAGGGCAACATAAAATAGTGAAAAAAAAAAATTGGGACCCCCAGCCCTTACCAGAAACAAAGTTTACGATAAAAAAAAACACGGTTTCTTGAATTCCCAAAATACGCCGTCTCACTTGATCCAGGAAGCGGAAGAAGGGGATAACTCAATTTTGGCCATTTTCCAGGAGAAACCAAAAACTGTTAGCAGGGTAAACTAAAACAAAACAAATGAATGTTGCAAATGTTAATAATTTCAAAAAGCATTAGTAAAATTTTGGAAAAAAAATCGAAAGTGTAAGGTCACTCCGTAGAGGATTTCTGCGACTTATCACTTTCCGTTGAAATGGAAAACAGAGTCAGCTCACCTTATATTTCCTAAACAAAGAGGAATGTGGAGACAAGTCAAGTGGAACAGTAGTCTGCATAAAGTGTATGTTACTCTGGTGTATTTTTTGGACTTAGCTCTTTTTTCCAAATTGAAATTTAAAATTAAGGGGGGTTTAAGTTGAGTTGATTCTTTTTATACTAGATTCATAAAAATACAAGTTGAGTTATATCCTTTTGCCAATTTGTCAAACGGACTCGTGTGGACTTCCGTTGAGTTATCTCCATTTTCCAATGAAATTTAGACCGTAAAAGGGGTTAAGTTGAGTTATACCCTTTTTCCATGTGGATTTTCTCCTAAACTGCTTGGAATTCAGTCAAATAATTTGGTGTAATGATGGAAACCATTCTAAGGCACAATAATAAAATAAAAACTCAATTTGGGGAGAAGTCAAGTTATTCCCTTCTTCCGCTTCCTGGATCAATTAAAAAAAACTTATTGCCGTGTAATTCCAAAACTCTTGTAATGCTGACCTTCACCTCTCTCACATCTTCCATGGTCTTAAGACAGACAATTGAATAGTATTTCAATGCACAGTGCCTCAGCGGAACCAATATAGGTCCCATTTTGACAATTTTGGGGGAAAAAGCTTCGATAACCTTCGATAACTTTTTGAGTTTTTTGACAATATCTCTGGTGTTTATGGATTGCCGTCCCTAATTTTTTAGTGACAGTTAGAGTACCTCATTGGGGTCCTTTGATGTCAATATGGTCCAAAAGTGAGACGGCGTATTTTGGGAATTCAAGAAACCGTGTTTTTTTTTATCGTAAACTTTGTTTCTGGTAAGGGCTGGGGGTCCCAATTTTTTTTTTCACTATTTTATGTTGCCCTTTACTGTTTTCAACCCATTTGAGCACCTAGATACACAATTTAAAAAAAACTGAAAAAAAATTTATAATTTTTTTTTTTGAAGTTTAAAAAATCACTGCGGCTAAAGTTCTGAATTTTTTTTCAAAAAAATTTATGAGAGTGGTCTTTGGGTGGTACACTACCATATAAAAAATTGGGGGCCGGATCTGAGCAAGTACGTTTTGGACCATGATGGTTTGACGTGGAACGCCCCTCATTTCTGACTACCGAACAATGTTTGATCGGTTGATCGACTGCATTGATCATTTTAACAGCGTCGGGCAAAATTGTCTCTGCCCGCGGATCCGTCTTTCCCGCCGGTATTCAATACCCACAGTCCATTCCGTCGCCAATCAAATGGTTTGTGCGCGGGAAAACTGGTGACGCATCGCCGGGAGTCGAACCCCCGCCGAACCCGTCTCACTATCCAGCCTCCAGGCACGGAACCAACTGAGCCACCGAGACAACTGAGAAGGGACGGGATGTCGTAGCCTCTAGACTGACAGCCCGACAGCAGTGACGTCATTCGTCATGTTGCCAAATTCATCAGAAGTTCTGTCGAGTGTTTGTGTTATTCTATCTATACACCAACCTAAGTCCAAAACAGTTTAGTAGCCACGACTGAACTGGCGGCAATCGAACCACTTTCATAGTGTACATCATTTTGAATTTGATTGGATGGATCAAAGTTGTTCGTTTGTGCAGACAAAACACGATTTTTATCGGGTACAAAAGGGGTTAGTGTTCACGACGAAACTCTTTCTACCTGGTTACCAAAACGTTTATTACCTGCCACAAAGCCTTATCAATCGAACTAAGTTCAGTACCGGCAGCAAAACATTTTTTCTCAGTGTGTGCATTGCACTCCAAATGTTCTACAACGAAGATTCTCCATATTATTGTGAAAATGTTCCATATTATGGTGGTGCAGCTGACTTCGTGACATGCCATTCAGAATTCACTGTACCTTACAGATATTTTGACGAATTTCGTTGGTATTATGGAGACACTGAGAATGAATGGGTCACCACCATCACCCTTTAAATGGGTGATGCAACTTCGTTGCCCAATTTTGGGTGACGAAAAATTCATCACCCGAAATTTGGTAACAGGCGTTTGGTCGCCCAAATTTGGGTAACGCCGTCGACGACGCCGTGAGGTCCCCGATAGACGTCCCCGGGGCCACCACGATGACCGGAGGCCTCAGCGCCACATTGGGTCATCGTGGTGGCCCCGGGAAAGCGTCATCGGGGACCTCAGGGCGTCGCCGACGACGCACAGTGCGGCCGATCCCGAAAAACGCGGACATAAACGACTTTTTCAATTTTGAGCTACAATTATTTCTATAGTGGGATTCGAAACTAGGATGATTCTTGCGTCTAAAAACAGTTTACTCATATTTTTGCACACCCGAGAACGTCTTCTGTAGCCCTTCAAAGGTACGTGTTTTGGCGCCAACGAAAGGGGCAACATAACCTATACATGTTTCCAAAGCTTTTATCAAGTTCCTTGAGCCACCGAAGCAGGCCGCGCAAAGGCCCCAGGTACAGCTCGATCCCTCGTCTTTCACGAGCAATAAGGAACTTTACCAATATTTGCAAAATAAGTATTCTAAATTAACTTTTTCCTGGGAGCCCGCGCGTCTTCAAATTCATATAGTTTCGATTGAGATATAAAATGATTCCCGGGGATTCCCGTCGTTTGGCGCACATCAAATTAAAGCTTGATACTTCCTTGATCGATTCCAACAAAGATTGGGCCCAGCACGCCCCAGCCGCAGCTGTGCTGAGCAAGTATGTTCCTTGATTTCTGCACTTGTCGCCATATTTCCACCTTAGTGGACGGGCCGGTATCGATACAACAATCACAGCAGGGACAGTCAAATTGAGTCTCCTCAAGTTTGGAAGGTCGGTGAATCCATCCGTGACCGCATTTTTGACAAAACAGGGGCGGAACCAGGAACAAAAAGGGGGTAAATTTTGAAATTTGACCAAATTGTTTAAAATTTTGTATTGGGGAGTTTTAAGGGTGTCTTAATCCATTTTTGGCAATTTTGTTGACCTATCAAGTAAAATGGAACTTTCCCCCCTTTTAACTCCCTGATCCGCCCCTGCTATATCAAAATTAAGTTTTGAAATGGATTTAGAGACCCTAAAAACCCTTGGGTGCAAAATTTCAGTCTGTTTGGAATACTTTTAAAATTTACCCCCTTTCATATTTCTGGTTCCGCCCCTGCTGTATCAAAATTGAGGTAAGAAATAGAAACAGAGACCCCGCAAACGTATCTGAGCGAAAACTCGTCGGCCTACGTTTGCTAGGAACAGTTTTTTTGAAATATGTCCGTCTTTTTCGAGATCGGCCGCACTGTGCGACGTTACCCAAATTTGGGCGACGATTTTATGACTGCCCAAAATTTGGTCACCGTGGGCTCGTCACCCAACTTCGGGCGACGATGCGTGCATTACCCAATAAAAGGGCGATGGTGGTAACTCTTTCATTCTCAGTGGAAAATCTCCACCATAATATGTTGATGCAGGCTTTCACCGTAAGACATTTACAGTGTGGCTGCGTAGCCCCTTCCAGTCACCACTTTCCTGATTTGTGTGCGCGAGATGGGAGATGTTGGTGGCCATGGCACGAGTATTCGACTCTCTTATCACAGCCAGCTGAGCGCGGCCCACAGGCTGGCTTGGCTTGTCGCGCCGCAGCAGACGGGCAGTTGTGCTCGCGGCTACCAGAGGATGGCCACCAAGTTCGCCATCCTGCTCGGCCTTCTGGCCGCCGTCTCGCAAGGTAGGCCGCCCATCGGACACCCAATGCGTGGCTACAGGGTTCCGAAAATGGCTTATTCTTGAAAAACAGACAGAAACTCGTCTGGTTTGACAGTGTCGTATAGAGGACGGTTTAGGCTGCTCATAAAGCCGAATGGCGCCAAAATAGGTTGAATTGCGTTTTTCAAAACTTCAAGAAAAAAAAACCTTCAAAGGGAAAAACTAATTTCTTAACCACTAAGTACAAAATGAAGCACAGTTTTTAATCTCTTTTCAAAGATAGTCCTGAATTCCTACGGCTATGGTTGTTAACGTCACTTTTAGATGGTAATGTGCTGTTTGTCTTTGGGGTTGAGTGACGATAACGCGCCGTTCGAGGAACTTCGGAAAATGTAACAACTTTTCTTCACCAGTGACGCGCAGAAACCGCGTTCGTTGCTTCAATACAATCCCTCAACCACCTCATTTCCAGTTCAGAGTGCTAATGGATGAATCTGAATCTTAACAAATTGAACCAACATTAAAACTTATACGTTTAGCATGTTTGGATTCAAACTTCTTTTCAAAGGTACATGAGTCATAACAACTTCGAATACTGTTTGCCCGTTGTCTATTGTGGAGAGCACCTCCATTGCGAGTTTAGCATCGCTCAACCTAGCCTACTCCTTAAAGGAACTAATAAACCACCGCTCTCAGGAAAAAAATCTCTCAACGCTGGTACTTGAAGTGGGTCCATTGCTCAATCATCCCAGCGAGTCAAGGAAATTCTTTTTTTTTTACCGTTAGGTGCCTTGGCAAATCAGCACTTGGCATGGAATGGTTGGTCCCTGCAAACGAACGTGGTCCTCCGTTCTCACAGCGTTGGGCAGTGAGACTCCCACCACCAAGGAAGGGTCTTTAGCACTGCAAATTGAATGGACAGACTAAGCGCTAAAATATGGCGAGACATAGTCTCGCCACAAAATGGTCAGTGACAAAAGTCTCGCCACAAAATGGCGAGGCTTTTGTGTCTGACCGTGGCGTAAGGCCGCCAAGGACGGTAAGTACTTGGCGAGAAATCTGACCTTTGGGTTTTGAACTGTGCGCCCCGTCTTACGTCCCGTCCGCAGCGACCGGCGACTGCGAGTCGAGGCACTTTCAGTGCAGGGACGGCAGCGGGTGTGTTCCCTTGTTCTTGAGGTGCGACGGTATCAGTCACTGCAGCGACGGCTTCGACGAGGAGGCCTGCGACGGTGAGTGCATCACGGGCTGCGCATAATCCCTTCCACACTGCTAGGCGCCTTTCGCCGCCTGCCCTCAATTTCGTAGCGCCTGATGGCGCCTCGTTAGGTGCCTTATTCCGAGGTGCGGAAGGCGCCATATACAACAAATAGGACGGAGTCAGAATGCAAACCTCAAATTACTGGTACTTCAACAACCTGACGGAAGTCCACGATCGCTGATTTTTCAGGAAGTCTAAAATTTGAGCTGGAAGATAGAGGTTGTCGATTTGATGGTTGGGTTTAACACCACAGAATCCTGTAGAAATAAGTGTCATTTAGGTTCAAGAGCCATTGCAATAGGCGAAGTACAGTTGGACTTTCGTCATTTTGAGGTCTGCGTGGAATCTATAAGAGATATTGGCACATGCTTTTCACCAGTCGATAGTAAATCGAAAGTTCTTGAACTCAGCCGAACATATTTTATCAAAATTTTGGACAATCGTCACAATGTTAAAGCACTGGGAAAATTTCGTTACTTGATGACAATTTCAAGGCTTATTTTCCTTACAAGGATGTCATCAAAACAATTGGTGACTTTGTTTGTCACGCCCATGCAAGAAGTATAGAAGCTTTAACGAAAATATCATAAATTTGTGATGAGATTATCATCATTTGAAAGTGATGAAAATATCATCCACGATTTTGTCATAAAGTGACAACAATTAGCGAGTATCAGTCAAATGCAGCCAGTGTCCTGCTTGCGCTGAGCGACCCTCCATTTCGGGGGTATGAGGTGAAGCTCCGCCGAATACGCCGTGAAACGAGCCGTGAAGGCAGCCCGCATCCCTATTTCATACGTGAAGGATGTGTCAAATTTGGCATTGCAGCTCCGCAAATTGAAGGATATCCCGAAGAACTGATCCAGGAAGCGGAAGAAGGGGATAACTCAATTTTGGCCATTTTCCAGGAGAAACCAAAAACTGTTAGCAGGGTAAACTAAAACAAAACAAATGAATGTTGCAAATGTTAATAATTTCAAAAAGCATTAGTAAAATTTTGGAAAAAAAATCGAAAGTGTAAGGTCACTCCGTAGAGGATTTCTGCGACTTATCACTTTCCGTTGAAATGGAAAACAGAGTCAGCTCACCTTATATTTCCTAAACAAAGAGGAATGTGGAGACAAGTCAAGTGGAACAGTAGTCTGCATAAAGTGTATGTTACTCTGGTGTATTTTTTGGACTTAGCTCTTTTTTCCAAATTGAAATTTAAAATTAAGGGGGGTTTAAGTTGAGTTGATTCTTTTTATACTAGATTCATAAAAATACAAGTTGAGTTATATCCTTTTGCCAATTTGTCAAACGGACTCGTGTGGACTTCCGTTGAGTTATCTCCATTTTCCAATGAAATTTAGACCGTAAAAGGGGTTAAGTTGAGTTATACCCTTTTTCCATGTGGATTTTCTCCTAAACTGCTTGGAATTCAGTCAAATAATTTGGTGTAATGATGGAAACCATTCTAAGGCACAATAATAAAATAAAAACTCAATTTGGGGAGAAGTCAAGTTATTCCCTTCTTCCGCTTCCTGGATCAACTGAATTCCGTATCTATAGTCACTCCACAGGCCGAGCGACGAAGTGATGCCCTTTGTCCGCAGCGCTGCCCACGGTGGCCCTGCCGGCCAACGCCTCGGTCACGGCCCGTGTGCAATTCGCAACGGCACACGACTCTTTCGAGCTGCACCTGTGCGGCGGCCAGCACTGCAGCAGGGTGTTACTGTGGGGCGAGGGCAAAGACGGCACGCTGAGATACGAGACTCAAACGAGCTGCAACCTCTGTGGCAGGCGATGCAGCAACCGCGTAAAGGTGAGTGGGCGTTCAAAATTCTTGACGCGCTTTGAGCCGCAAAGTCGCTAAACAGGACTCTAACAGGACTTGTGACCCCACCAATGGATTCCTCGTCGGGAGAGCAATCCATTGGTAGGGTCACACGTTCGGTTTGAGTCTTATTTAGCGACTCTGTGAGCCCGTCCGGGATTTTGGCCACCTCCTCTGGTCTTTTGGCCCACTGTGCGTCCCGTTCTGCCGGGACGTCTCACCGCGTGCTCTCTGTGCAGACCCACATTGAAGGCAGCTATATCCTCCGCCCCGGCGAGGTGGTGCTGGAGGTGCAGCACCGGCCCGGGCAGCTCGCCGTGTGGCGGCAGGGCCGGCCGGACGACGTGGTGGAGGTCCCCGTGGGGGCGGACTACGGCACGCTCAGGGTCAGGCCCTACTACTGGGGCACCGACATGCCCGTGCGGTACACTGGTGAGCGACGCTTCACTGTTGTCGCGCTGCTCGGGAGTGCAGCGAAGAAGCACGCCAGGAACACTGCAGCGAGAACAGCTTATTGTGTCGCTGCTCCAATCTCTCAACATTTTCTTTTCCGTCAACGGGGGTAACTTGGGACAGTATGCCCTATAGAACTGATTGGTGCTGCCATCCAGCGACGGGAGTTCCTATGCGTCAAACCCGCGGCAGGGTTTTGTTACGGAGGCCTCAGGGCACGCGCGGAAAGGCGGAGAAGGTGCATAACATCACAATTAGTATTTGAGAAACGGGAAACAACATAAAAGGGTTTTTGACGAAATATGTCAAACATCGAAAAATTGACCCTAATGTAAGGAGTGAAATGCAGATTTGGCCGAGTGGTCTCTCTGGGGTGTTATATCATACAACGGTCTAGATTGAGTTTGTCCTGGTCCTGTGTCCTTGTTGCCGCCCGACTGGTGCGTCCGTATCAGTGGTCCTTCCTGCAGCGCTGTGCGCGATGGCGGCCAAGGCCACGAGCTGGGGGTCGAGGCACAGCTTAGCTAGGCACGGCACTGTGATCCAAAATGGGTTGTGAACGTCGAATCATCTGTGGCGAATTCTGACCGCTATGAAAACTTCACGGTTAAAACGGTTCCAGGTTTTCCCAGGACCTCCCTGGAAATCGCCCATGTACACTCTGAATGTTGTACAGTGAAGATTCTCCATGTTATGGTGAAAATGTTCCATATTATGGTGGTGCAGCTGACCTCATAACATACCATTCAGAATTCACTATACCTTATAGATATTTTGACGAATTTCGTTGGTGAAGAAAATCTCCACCATAATATGTTGGTGCAGCCTTTCACCGTAAGACATTTACTGTGTATTTACCACAGGCTTCCCGGGAAAACCAGGTACCGTTGTTACCGTGTATATTGTACACCACAGAACATAATAGTGTGATAGTCCCGACTCCGACACGTGCACATCCATAACACGCATGCGCTGCCATAGCCATATTGCAGCTTACGTGCAATGCGTCCCGAAAATGACCTACACTGTAAAAATATTCCGTAGTTTTGTACGGAAAATGTACAGACGAAAATAGTACGGACGCACGGAAAAAAGTACGGAACGTCCGTACTTGTCCCATAAGAACTCATGTAATAGAGTACGGAAAAAAGGTACAGAAGTTCCGTAGTGGGACAGGTACGGACGGTCCAGGCAAATTATTGACCAGACATGTTCCGTACTTTTTTCTCGCAGTGTATGCTTAATGCATGGGAATGGGAAGACATTTCACATGAAGTGCAATGCAAAAGCAGTGCACCAAGTGACGCTAAATTCATAGCGTTTGGATTCTCAGTGTCTTTACACTGTCGTGCAGGGGACAGCCTGCCCGCGTCCGCAGCGCCCTCTGTCACGGCCTCTCCGGCCGCAGCGCCCGCCGAGTGCGAGTCGGGGAAGTTGAAGTGCAAGGACGGCCAGTGTGTTTCCGGAAGGTACAGGTGCAACGGCAGCAACGACTGCCGCGACGGCTCCGACGAGGAGGATTGCTACCGTGAGTGGAAACCACACCAGACCCGAACCTTGACTACCTCTTGCACAAGTGATGTGCCAACGCTTCCACATTAAATTATGTAAGCCTACTTTTTGGTGCATGAGCTTCGCACAAAATTGAAAATGCGTTATGAATGCACGAATTTGTGCCAAACTAAGCACGAAAAGTGTGCGTTGTTGCACATGAAATTCATGCTTATCGAAACAAATGCCCAATTTTTTGCCAAGCTTATGCATTAAAAAGCACACTGCCATTCCAAGTGTGAGACAGTCTCACACTTGTAAGAGTGGGACAGTTTGTCTCACGCTTACAAGTGTGAGCCACGTTTGTCTCACGCTTGCAAGTGTGAGACAACGAGGTCCCGCACTTGCAAGTGTGAGACACGGTTTGTCCCACACTTGCTGCCTATGCTAGCTCTGTGGTTCAATGCCACGGGTCCCACACACTAAACTTCTTACGGATACATCCTACCTGTATTACCAGGGGGCGGCAACGGCCTAGGAAGCGCGTGAAGCCATGCGCGAGTGAGGTGCAGGGGTTACTTATTTTGCTTCGATTGTAAGATCTAGGCCGTTGATTGCAAAACGCTTTGCACAGATCAAAAGAGCACAAAACCTGGGGTGCATTAGGCCTAAGAGACTGCCCGATACTTCCAATTGAACCGAACACAAGGGCGGAACCATTTACATCAACATGGCGCATTCGAGTTTTTTCCTAAATTTGATGATTTCTCGTGTTTTTAGGGGTTTTCACTGCACCTTAACATCAGGTAAGGGGGGCGTTTCGAGAAGGGCAATAAGCCTAATGCACCCTAAATTTCAAGTCCTTTCCACCGGTGCAAAGCGTTTTGAAAAACACAGTCTAGTTTTCATAATCCCGAACAAGTGCGCAACCTCTTTCACTGACGGCGCGAGCATCGCTTCACGCTCTTTCTAGGCGGTTGCCACCCCCTGGTATTACGGACATTTTTGTGCAATTGCAATTACGGATAGATTTTGCTTGTAATACGGATGAAATCATCCGTATTACAAAGAGTTTTACGTCCGTACCATACGGATATTTTCGTCTGTATGTTACGGACACGAAAACCTTTGTATTACGGATAAAATCCTCCGTATTACAAGCAAAATCTATCCGTAATTGCAATTGCACAAAAATGTCCGTAATACAGATAGGATGTATCCGTAAGAAGTTTAGTGTGCACGTTGTCTCACACTTGCAAGTGTGAGACATCGATGTCTCGCACTTGCAAGCGTGAGACAAGCACTGCAAACTGAATGGAAAGACATTACGCCAAAATGTGGCGAGACAAAAAGTCTCGCCACATTTTGGCGATACTTTCATGTCTCGCCACAATATGGTCAGATTCAAATGTCTCGCCAATTTATGGCGAGACTTTTTTGTCTCGCCAAAATATGGCCCAAAATTATTTAAATAGGGTAGGCAATGCATGGATTCATAGCAAAATACATAAACTACTGCATTATTCACAAAATTCACGAGAAATCATTTCTGATCACCACTGATAGTTGTTTGACCCACTGGGGGACTCTCAAGAGTAACGCTGTTTGTTTCGCTCATAAACCAAGAGGTGCGTCTTCACATAACAGGGCCGCTCACATTCAGTTTCATTGAAATCAGATTGTACTCACAATAATCACAGTAGCACTGTGGCTATGAAGAAATTTGCAGGCAGGTTGAGAGTTGATTCATCCAATAAAGATTGTCTACAAACATGTAGCTTTGAGTACTGTACAACTTACAAGGGAAGTGCCCCAGGTGTTACATCCAGATTTTGATCATATTTTGGGGATCTCTTCTACTATACAATAGACTAATTTTCCGCATAAAAGTTTTTGCTGAGATATATTACAACGGGTTTTAAACCTAGGTCCAAATTTTCAAAATCACTCAAAAAATATTTTTTGACCAAAAAGTTTCTAAATGGCCTGAAACGTCCAAAAATATGATTTTTTTCGATTTTGGAGCAAAAAAATTTTTTGTCCTCACTAAAGTCCAAAAACTTGGAAAAAATTCAAAATCACATTTTTGACCAAAAAGTCTCCAAATGGTCTGAAACGTCCAAAAATATGATTTTTTTCGATTTTGGGGCAAAAATATTTTTGTCCTCACTTAAGTCTAAAAATTAAAAAAAAAATACATTTTTGACCAAATACAGGGTGAGTTTTCTCAATGTGTCAATAATTTGCAGGCAGTTTGGGCATCCCTAGGGGACCATTTTTCACCAATGAACTAGTGGGCGCAAACGTCTAGATACGGAGATAATTGGTGTTTTGAATTTGGATTTTGCGCCTACAAGGTAGGCACCCGGTGCCACTGAGTGTGGCAGGACCTGTCGAGGGGGTGTCGCGGGACTAGCAGTACTCGCGGGAGTGCCACTTACCTCGCGGAAGTATCCGTGGAATCCTGCCACCCTCGCAAAGACAGCCGTGAGATCCACTGTAACGGGGGCCACCATGACAGCCCCTTGAGACCCGCGGCAACCCCTCCCAAAAGACATTTGCAAGGTCCGCCGCACCCCTTCGAGACTCGAAGCACCCCTCCTAGACCCGCGACCCCCCACGTGAGGTCCTGCGCCCATCAGGGCAGCGGGTGCCTACCTCGCAGGCGCGAAGGTCAATTACAAAACACCAATTATCTCCGTACCTAGACGTTTGCGCCCACTAGTTCATTGGTAGAAAATGATCCCCTTGGGGTGCCCAAACTACCTACAAATTATTGACACATTGAGAAAACTCACCCTGTAGTCTCCAAGATCCGCAACGTTAAAAACATGATTTTATTCGCGTTTGGAGAATCTTTTTGTTCTGGCGTTAGTCAATATTCGTGAAAAAACTTGAAAGCCAGATAACAAGATTTGGACAAAATAATTGAGGTATGGTACGCAATGTTCAACTACGTCATTTTTTGGCCCGTCCCGTTTATTTTTTGTAAAAAAATGACGGAGGGACGGGCATATACAGTAGTATGACCCCTGCTGTGCGTCCGTCCGTCCGTTCGTCCGTCCGTCCGTCCGTCCGAGGACTTCCCGTGGTCCGATCTTGACCAAATTTGGTATGCAGCCTCCTTGGGTGACCCTAAGAACCGCCCGGTGGCAGCAAATCCGATCCGAGCCCCGGGGGCGCTGCTGCAGGTGCATCATGGTCTACATGGGGTCGAGGGGGGGATTTCGGCAACGGATACAGCTAGGAGGGCATGTGGGGGTATTTTTGGAATCAGGGTGACAAGACAAAACCAATGGTGCCAATTTCAAGCAAATCGGAGAAGTTTGGACCCGGGTTCAAATCCCAGTGGGGTATTTTTTTAAACATTCTTTTTATTCGAGTGTTCGCATTTTTCAGATGCTTTTGAGGGTGCTGATGACGAAAACTACATTTTTTTTAACCCCAGACTCAGGTTTAATTCCCGTCGGGGTCAAACATAGGCAAAATTTTGAACGTTTCTTAATGTACCGGACGGGCCAAAGTTGCCGATGAATATCGCTACTTTTCCTGTTATTAGACTTAAGTGAGGACAAAAATTTTTTTGCTCCAAAATCGAAAAAAATCATATTTTTGGACGTTTTAGACCATTCCCACACGGAAAATAGACGTCTAAAAGACGTATATTAGACGTCTATTTGTAGATGGAAATGAGTCTAATAGAGGTCTTTTGACATCTACATGTAGATCATCTACACATAATCTAATGGTCGAATTTGCGACGTCTATTAGACGTCTATTACTTTTCCTCTAGTAGACGTCTGCAGATAGATTTATAATCGACGTACTCAGAATAGCCCCTGCATACCAAGTAGACCACAACGAAGGTATCAACGGTCAAAACGCGAGTTGGGTTCCCACTTGGGAAGGTAGTAGCATTTAGATCGAACAGGGCAGATCGTACCTGATGTGGGGGTTTAGAGGGCCGAGCAAGGGAACGCTGCCGGTACGGCACTGCCAGCCCTTGCCACATCCAAAAAATTGTAAGGTCCCCACGTCGCAAGAGCGATTATATGGAGAGAACTCTTCAAAGGAGAGGAGAACGGCGTAGAGACTATAACAGAACTGGCTCACGGAGTCGTCACCGCGAGCGGGCAGACGTGCTTTGCGCGTGGCGCGCTCTCGTGGCAGTTAGGAGAAGCTTATCCGTCTAGTACCTGATCTAAAGAGTAGAAAGACATCTTTCTACTTTGAAGACCAAGATCTCACCCACTACGCTATGGGCTGACCTAAGAAGTTGGGACGGAAATTAATCTGTGGCGTCTGCATAAAGTCTATCATTGTGCATCTATAGATAGTCTACATGTGATATATTTTTAGACGTCCATGTTTCAACGACCTTAGCTGTCTACATGAAATCTACCGTGTGGACATCTGCAGATAGACCTTTGCTAGATATCAGGTAGATCTGTCCTATGAGTCCTTAGATGAACTTCGACAAGAAAGATCATCTATAGACGTCTGCAGTTGCATCTATAGTTAGACATAGACGGATTAGAGGCGTCTTAGATCCTTTATAGACCGTCTACTTCAGTCCATAGATCTCTATAGACACTAAAGATCATCTATAGATTGTCTAAATTTGTCTATAGACGTAGATAGACCTTTGAAGACCACATCTAGACGGTCTAGCTTAATCTATAGACGTCTATTTTCCGTGTGGGAATTTGGATACTTTTTGGTCTAAAATGTGATTTTGAATTTTTTTCAAGTTTTTGGACTTTAGTGAGGACAAAAAAAATTTTTTTTTCTCCAAAATCAAAAAAAATCATTTTTTGGACGTTTAAGGCCATTTAGAAATTTTTTGGGTTTAAAAAATTTATTTTAAGTGATTTTGAAAATTTGGACCTAGGTTTAAAACCCGTTGTAATATATCTCAGCAAAATCTTTTATGCGGAAAATTAGTCTATTGTACAGTAGAAGAGATCCCCAAAATCTGATCAAAATCTGGATGTAACACCTGGGGCACTTCCCTTGTTAGCCCAGAGAACAGATGGT